CAACATGTAGAAACACCATCGCTACTAAAAATACAAAAATTAGCTGGGCATGGTGGCACACACCTGTAGTCCCAGCTACTTGGAAGGATGAGGCAGGAGAATCGCTTGAACCCAGGAGGCTGAGGCTGCAGTGAGCTAAGATTGTGCCACTGTACTCCAGCCTGGGCAACAGAGAGAGACTCCATTCCAAAAAAAAAATGGTTTGGGGGGGCCCAGGTTTATTTCCATTAGTGTCCAACTCTGAAGTTCCCACTCTTAGTCCTACAGCTGACAGCTTCCCCAAGAGAATAAACAGAATAAACCAACACTTTTAAAAATAGCTCTGTCCCCTCATTGCAAAATCCACTCATGTCTTAATAGACATGAGAAAATTTGGAAGACAGAGAAAATATGAAGAAATTTAAAAGTACCCACACTCATTTTATCCCAAAATCACCATGGTTAATATTCTCATGTGTGTTATTCCAGCTTTTTTTTTTTTTTGAGACAGAGTTTTGCTCTGTTGCCAGGCTGGAATACTGTGGCACGATCTCAGCTCACTGCAACCTCCGACTCCTGGGTTCCAGCGTTTCTCCTGCCTCAGCCTCTCAAGTAGCTGGGATTACAGGCACATGCCACCACGCCCAGCTAATTTTTTATATTTTTAGTAGAGATGGGGTTTCACCATGTTGGCCAGCATGGTCTTAATCTCCTGACCTCGTGATCCGCTTGCCTTGGCCTCCCAAAGTACTGGGATTATAGGTGTGAGCCACCGTGCCTGGCCTATTCCAGCTTTTAAAAATTTTCTTTACTTATTTTTTTCTAAAAACACTATGATGACAAATCCTGCTTATTTTAAAAGGCTTTGTTTCCAAAGACAAAAGCTAGCATCACAGTGTCCACATGATTTTTGCTTGCTTCTATTGTGAACTGTCTCCTACCTGTGTTAGTAAATAATTTTCCACAAGATTTTACAACTGCCTACTACTCCATGATATGTGTCATCATTGACTTAGCTGGCTCCCTGTTCCTGGGTGTTACGGCTGTTTTTGTTTTCATTGTTATAAATAGGGCAGTGAAGAGGTTTCCACCCCCCCCCCCACCACATCTCTGTTTCCCCTGGAAAATTCTCTTTTTTTTTTTTTGAGATGGAGTTTGCTCTTGTTGCCCAGGTTGGAGTGTGCAATTGCGCGATCTCAGCTCACCGCAATCTCTGCCTCCTGGGTTCAAGCGATTTTCTTGCTTCAGCCTCCCGAGTAGCTGGGATTACAGGCATGCACCACCATGCCCGGCTAATTTTGTATTTTTAGTAGAGACGGGGTTTCTCCATGTTGGTCAAGCTGGTCTTGAACTCCTGACCTCAGGTGATCCAGCCGCCTCGGCCTCCCAAAGTGCTGGGATTTACAGGCATGAGCCACTGCGCCTGGCCTCCCCTGGAAAATTCTACAAGTAGTACCCCTGGGTCACAGGGTGACAGTTGGCAGGTACAGCCAGAAAGCCTTCTTTAGGGCTGTGCCCTCCACCAGCAGAGCATGATGGGGGGCACATGGATTGAGTTTTGTCATGCGGCAATATCAACCTGGTCTCATTGAATGGCTAAAACTCTCTGCAGCCAGTCCCAGTTGGCCCCCAGGGATGGGGCTGCCGAGCCCCAGTAACTATGATCAGGAGTCTGTGTGCCCATGCGAGCTGAGGGTACAGCATGTACCCTGTGCCTGCTGGCCTGGCACCCCTGTTAGCCACCCTGCTCATCAACCACCCTGGCTTGTGACCCTTCATACTACTGGTGTTTCCAATAATGACATTTGTCCCAGAGGGTGGCTGTCACCAAGCACTGTGAATGAACAGAAATTGTTTGGATGGTGAGTGTGGGCCATTGGGCACAGTCATCCTATGAGTGGGCAGGCAGGCATCCACAGTCCAGTGCCAGCAGGGCAGCCAGGAGCCCCGGTTCAATGTGGGCTGACATAGCTGGTCTACTGTTGTGTGTCTCATTTGATCCCATCCCTCATCCCACACTGTCTGTTGCCTGGTGTCATCCTGTGAGTGACTGGAAGACCAGCATCCCTGACCCTGGGCTACTGGCAGTGATGGGGACAGGTGGGTGATCTGTGGGACTCTGAACCTCTCGTTGTGGGCAGTGTGCCATGTGTGGCAGGAGTGGCCAAAAAGTCCAAGGAGGACTTGACCGTAGCCACACTATGTGGCCTTTGGCCATTCTGTGGCTTCCATTTTCTCATTTATGAAATGGGCCACTGAGGACTTTGGGGCCCATGAGACAGATAGCTGAGGATCTTGCTGGCCAAGCTGTAGAGATGGGACCCTCAAGGGAAGGGGTCTGTGAAAGGGCTGGGGCCACTGGGCTGGGATATCAATCAGCTGGAATGATGGAGGGAGTTGGGCTTCCTGGGTTCTCTGGGGAAACAGGTGCCGGGGCCCATGGGATTGTAGGTGGCACAACTGGGTGGGGCTGGGGGAAGCAGGAAGTGAAGCTGCCTCCCTCCCTTGCCTCTCCTGCTGTAGGTTGGCTTCCTGAAGATCCTGCACAGGTATGAGATTACCTTCACTCTGCCCCCCGTGCACAGGCTGAGCAAGGACATCCACGAGGCACCTGTCCCCAGCCTGCACCTCAAGCTCCTCAGCATCGTGCCTGTCCCGGAAGGTGCATCCTCTCCTCCAGCAGGGCCTGGATGGGAGTGGGAGTGAGAATGGGGGGTGCTCCCTTTCCCCCAACTAGGGTGGACAGGCAGCTCAGGAAGTCAAGGACATGGCAATTTGTGAGCTTGCAGTGTGGCAGCATGGCAGGTCCCACGCTCTAGGCCTTGCTCACTGTCCCTGAACAGAAGTCCATGAGCTTGTCCTTGCCTATGGCTGCCCATGGCGTGATGGTTACCTCTGTGGGGCAGTAACCAAGAAAGAAGCTGCTGAGGAATTGGTTCAAAGTCTCCAGCCCTCGTTCCTGCCTCCCTAACCCTCGAGAAAAACCTGCTGGAGCTACACATCTTGTGGCTAACTCTGAGCACCCACCAGTCCCGGACCTTGGGTTTTAGGCTGCTGCTCCTATGAGGCTCACTTCAGGCCCTGCCCCACCCCCTACTCCCAGTCTGGCAGAGGCTAAGGTGTCAGTTTCGTGGAGCTCCAGCTTTGGTTTCATGTCCCCGTCAACAGCCTCCTCATGACCTTGCCCTTCAATGGACTGAGACCCCTCTGGCCTTCACCTCTTGCCATCTGATCTGCTCAAAGCCTACCCCACCCTGCCCCCATCATTCCCCATCACCCCCTCTCCTCATCGCCCCCTCTCTCTGCCTTCCTTTTGGGAGAAATCAGCCAGCCCTTCTTTTGGAAGCCTGAATTGGACCCTACTTCATTCACTCTTGGAGCCACATTGGGGTGGCCCACAGGCTCGAGGCATTTCCAGCTCACTGAAGAATGGGAAGTTTTTGAGACTTGTGTACCCCTCCTAGGGGGGTGGGTCTCTGGGCTCCAGAAGGGCCATCCCTGCCCCATTCTTGGGGCGGCTCAGCATGTCTTAGTGGTGGGAAGGGGCCAGTGAGTTCCAGGGGCAGGATTGGGAGGCTGGGGAGGTGCTGACCACTTGCCCCTGTCCCTGGGCAGGTTATAGTGTCAAATGTGAGTACTCGGCGCATAAAGAGGGCGTCCTCAAAGAGGAGATACTGCTAGCCTGCGAAGGTGGCACTGGCACCTGTGTGCGCGTGATGGTGCAGGCCCGCGTCATGGGTGAGAGCTTGAGGCTCCTGGTTGGAGGAGGGACCCACAAGCTGGGCTGCAAGGGTTTCTGTTCTCCTCAGGAAACCAGGGCTGAAAATGGGATCCCTTCCTGGGGGTTCTCAACATCGCCCAGCTGATCCCTGAGGGAAGGGGAGGGGTCCCCTTAGTGGGCCGCGGGGGTGGGGCCCCGGGCCAACACGGCACTAACTTACACCCCGGCCTTGCAGACCGACACCACGGCACGCCCATGCTGCTGGACGGTGTAAAGTGCGTGGGCGCCGAGCTGGAATACGACTCGGAGCACAGCGACTGGCACGGCTTTGACTGAGGCCTGAGGCCCCACCAGCCCCGGGCCCCTCAGCCTTAAACCCTGCCTTGTCCCCCCGACATGCTGCGTGATGGTGTGGCTTCCTTGCCCCTCTCCAGGGTGGGTGTGGGGGTGGAGTGGCCTTGCCTACACCTCTCACCTCTGCCTTCATTCGTGCCACCACCCTGCCTCTCCCTCGTCCTCCTCTCCCACTTCCTCCTCTCTGTGTGCCTCAGTCTCCTGTCTGAAGAAATGGGTTGAGCCCGAAAGGAGGCTGTCTGAGGAAGGGAGAGGGAGGGCCTGGGGTGGGTTTCCCACTCCCCAACCCAAGCCATAGGGGCTCCAGCCAAGGTCTGGGAGAGGATGGAGCTGGCTCTGTGACGTCATGGCCCCATTACTGCTGCTGCTGCCTTGCTTCAGCCACCTCTCCTGCTCCTCCCTTGTCCCCACTGCTGTCCATATGAGTAGGAGGGAGGTGCAGTCCCTGGCTCCCACCCCTCAGGTTTGTGTTACTTGGTTTTTAAGCGACTGGTTGGGATAGAACCCTAAAGAAATAAAATTTCCAGTGGATACCGGAGGCCAGGTGGACTTTTGTTTTCTGGGGTTGTGGTAATGCCTACTCCTTTGGCAGATGGACCAAGGAAGGACTTGGGTAAACTTACTCAGGAGGCAGGGGCACCGCATGGTATTATAGCACCTAGCCCCACAGGAAATATGCACAGGTGGTGGCATTTTAGGCCAGAAGCTGGCTGCCAAGACAATTAGTTTGAATGAGGAGGGACCTCCTGCGCAGGCTAGAGAGGTCTCCAAGTGTTGTTTGGAATGCTTGATGGGGGGGGGGGGGACAGCAGCGCCCCCTTCTGGTCAGTTAGGGAACTGAAAGCATAGGGTGCACAGCTGAAAGCTTGCTTCCTTGTCTCTAGCACCTGGATTCCTACGCTCTTCCCACTATTAGGGTCTCCACGCCATATCAGCAGGCTGTGGCTTCCCCTTGAGCATAAATGTTTTATTGTCACCTTAGGGCTCTCAGGCAGGTGGGGCTGTTGCATGTCACAGTCGGAGGGAAGGGCCTAACGTTTCACACTTTTTGGAAAACAGGCCCATGGGTGGTCAGAGAATATCCTAAAGGCACAGAGTCAATAGCAGAGCTGGGACCACCCCTCATTCTCCCTCTGGCCTCCCCATCCACCCTCAAGCTGTCCTTCCATGGCTGGGGTGGGGTGCAAGTGGGGTATTTCGTAAGCTGCCCTTGGGACCTTCCCAGATGGGTGTTTTGTCTTGAAGGAAATGCTACCCACACATCCCTCATAATTGCCTCCACCATAGCAATGTTCCCACCTCCCCATTAGTGACCTACTGCCCTGTCTACAGTTAACAGTCATACTTAGGTGGTCAGCACCACCCCCAGGAATGTGCTACAACACTTGTCCTTCCGGAGTCCACTTCCAGGCATTTTCCTACGGCACAGGGTTCCTCTGCCTGGCTCGGGGTTCGGGCTGAGTCCATAAGAGAGTGAACTCCAGCTATGCAGGTCCAGGCCCTGCACAACCTCCTTCCTCCTGCGCCTCCTCCTTCCTGCCTTGCTCAGCCTACTCCTACCCACATCCCATCCCCACCCCCCTATCCGCAAAGTTCAGGCCAGGACTCCATCTTCTGTTGTGTTCTAATTTCGGGGTCACATGCCCCTTGTCGGGCTGCGCGCTCCGCCTGGCAAACCTCTTCTCAGTCACCCTTACCCATTCAGTCCCTGGCGGGTTCCTTCAGCCTCGCGGTCAGCGGACCAGGTCCCAATCCCAAAGCGTGGGTGTGTCCCCACAGACCCACCCATGACCTCATCTCCTCGGGCCGGAGGGCGGGGAAAGAGGCGTAGACACCAGAACCATCATTTTCCCCTCCCCGCCCCGCCCCACCCCGCTCCGCTGGCCCCTGGACCGAAAGAGGGCGGGACCCGGCCAAGGGCTCTGGGACCGGGCCAAGGGCTCTGGCACCGCGCCGGCGCGCCCTCAGTTGGAAAGAAAGTCGATGGAGGCGCGCACGGAGCGATTGGTGCTGACGTCGATGGCGGTGACCTTAATTTCGGTGTCGCCAAATTGCATGGCGGCGCGGATCTCGCGGCGGCCGGGAGGCGCGCCGGCGGTGTCTTGGCCGCGGTCGGCTGGCTCAAGCTCCAGGCTGAGAGCGCCGCACTTGCGCACGCCGGGATCGGTGATGAAGCGCGCATCCTCGGCCGCGCAGCAGTACAGGTTGATGAGCACGCGCCGCTGGCCCGGACGCGCCGGGCAGTAGCTGCGCCGCACCTCCTCGCCCAGGGCCACCGACTGCTCGGCGGCCACGAAGCGTTCGAAGACGTCGGTGCACCAGCGGCGGCCGTCGCGAACCAACAGCTTTTCGGGCGGGTGGCGCCCAGGCACAAAGCGGTTGAGCACACCCACGCCGTAGGTGAGTGGCGATCGGCGGACCCGCACCACGCCCGGCGCCTGGCCGAACAGCACCGCGCCTTTGAGGATGGTGAGGCCCACGTCGTGCGGGACCACGACACGCAGGCCGCGGGCGCCGAGCGCCGCCTGCACCGCGTGCTGCAGCACCGCCGACTCGGCGAAGCCGCCCACCAGGAATAGCAGCTTCACACCCTGCACCTCTGGCCGCGCTAGCAGAGCCTCTGCGGGACGGGACGGGGGGCGGAGAAGGAGAAGGGAGAGAGGGAGCTGCTGAGGCCACCACTAGGCAGCCACCGGCGCCTTCCCTCCCTAGCCTGTACCCTCCTGGCAACTAGAAAGTAGCGCCATTTGAGCACTTTCTTTGAGAGCTCCCAGGAGTCCTCGAGGACTCCGCCTCCCCAACACTCAAGCACCCCACTTCTCTCCCACCACGACATGGAGGACGAGAGATAAGGATATGCGTTTACAAGTATTAAGCACCTAGACCTTTTGTGCAAGACGTTGTGCTCACTCTAGATACTTCAGCTCATTTTATCCCCGTGATAACGTTTTGAGAACCCAATACTATCACCCTGTTTTATAAATGGGGAAACTGAAGCACCAGAGGGGGGATTTTTCCACCTGTGTGTGTGTATATAGGGGTGGGTGGAGCACTGAGCTCAGGTGCTCACCTATGTGCTGGATGATCCCGCTGACGGTGGGCTGAAAGAGCTCGTTCATGGCTTCACAGGACATTCGGAGCATCCCCTGTGAGGACCACTTCACAAAGTTCACGCTGTTGGTGGTAAAAGGGGCACAGACCCATTGATCAATGCCCAGCTGCTTGCCCCCGTTTGGGGTCTGTGGTCCTTATTCCCTTCCCCTGCCTCTAGGCAGAAATGCTTGGGCACACACTGCACGTGGTGTCTGGAGCCTGGACCTGCTGGATGTTAGCCCTTATCTCCACCCTTCTCACTCGGAGGATTTGGTTGCCAGCCTGCTCCAGTTCCAGATACGAGGTCCTGGGAGGGGCCTTTCCTTGCTTTGGTGCAGAGAAGCCAAGGAACTTTGGCTGGCAGGCAGACCCCTACCGTTCTTTGGGGCCCGGGACCCTCCCTTGCACAGGCGTTCCTGTGTCTGCAAACCCTGCCTGAGACCGCGGGGCCCGTACCCACCTGCTCCTGCGCAGAGCGGTCTCCACATTGTGGCCCCGCTGCTTGCGGTAGAAGTCAATGAAGGAGAAGGGCAGCGAGATGTTGAGCGCGCCGGCACGGTGCGGGCCAGCCGTGCGCTTGCGAGCCTCGAAGGCGATGGTCAGATCCACCCAGGCGGCCGGCCGTTGCCTTTTGAAGGTAGCGATGAAGTCTTCGCCGAATATGCGGCACAGCAGCTGCTCGAAGGCCAGGTCCACGCCCACCGCACCATAAGGGCCCCCTAGGGTGGAGCAGGGAGCGGAGGGGGCGTCAGTGCTCACCCGGCCGCCAGGGGGCGGTGGCGGGGCCAGGGCGCCGCCTGGCTACTCACCAGATGCCTTGTAGAGCTCCTTGAGGGTGCCATGGGGCTGCTCCAGCTGGTGCACCGTCAGGTCCACGGTGCCTCCACCGCAGTCGGCCACCACGTAGCGGTCTCCTGCGGCAGCAAGCGCAGGCGCACACTCGTGGGCACACACTTGTGGGCGGCCTCGCACCTTCAGCCCTGCTCCCTCTCCAGCCTCGCCCAGCCTCCAGCCCTGCCCTGGGGTCCCAAGGACTGTCTGCAGGGTCGGGGGAGGGATGTGAGGGGCTTCAGGAGCTTGAACCTCAGACCACCACATATGGGAGCCAGGTGTGGGGGAGAAATGGTTCCAGAGGCTCTGCAACTCCACCTGAGCGTCGGAGGAGAATCCCCTGGAGTAGTGGGAGTTAGGGGCGATGCTGTGAATGGGATGGGGATGTGGGTGACTGTGAGGGGACGGCCAGCTTAGGTACAGCGGATGGAGGAAGAGATGGGCTTTGCAAACATGCCCTTCCCCCCATCAGTATATGGTGCCAAAGATAACTCCCCCTCTTCCCCTACCTGCTTGCATCTCTGCCCACAGCTCTCCTACACCCGACTCTACCAGGAACGTGCGGCTGTGGCGGGACCTTCGCAGCTGCTCCCGAGCTGGGGATCAGGAGACAGCAAGGAGTGAGATTAGAAGGAGGTGGCCCAGCTATGGTGTTCAACTCCCATGCTGCCCAGACCCTCCAAGGGCACTGGGAGCAGCCAGTGCTCCTGAAACTCCAACCTGTACCTGACTGGGAGAGGGCAGTCCTGAACCTGAATCCCACCCTGTATCAACAGCTGGGGGGAAGTATTTATGGACACGTGGCCTTCCTTTAACCTAGGAGGTCTCAGGTCATGGCAAAATCAGGGTTAGAGGGGTTTGGAGGAGCGGAGGCAGGGTAGGTCTATGCAGTCTAAGAGAGGACTCAGGACTTAGGGCTTCTCCCTGCCCTGGGAGGTGGCATTTGGGAGGATGACCATAGTTGTCCTTGGCCTGGGTGCTGGGTCCTGGGAACAGGAGCTTAGGGCTGATGTGTGTCAGGGAAGATGAGCAGGGTGATGGGGACAGCTGATGCAGTGGGCTGACTTCCTGGTTTGTCAGACTTCAGCAGTTTCCTCCTGGGGTAGGCTGTATCTCCCCCTTCCCTTACTCTCAGGGCTGGGCAGAGTCCTGCCCTCCTCAGACCTTGCTCCCCTAGGGCAAGGTGACATCTCCATCCTGAGATTGGGCTCTCCCAGGTGGGGCATGGCCCACCCTGAGATGATGTTCCCCTTGGGCAGGGCTGTACCTTCCTCCCTCAGACCGGTTCCAACAGGCATGGGCTCCTCCGGGGCGAGGACCCCTTCCCCTTCATCCTAGACGTGGCTAAGCTTCTGGCCTCAGTGGCCCTGTGACCCTCCAAAGGTGGGTGGTGCTCCTGGGGGCAGCTCACCTTGCCGGAAGCTGGAGTCGATGGAGCGGCGCTCACCCAGGCGCCCACCGCCTGGGGCCCGGCTGCTCAGGTCCAGGAGCTGGTGCAGGCGCAGCTTGCGGCAGTATACTGAGGCGGCCTCGGGCTCCAGGGCGATGAGTAGCTGCTCTGCATTTTCTCGGGACACTAGTCCAGCCTGGGGATGGGTGGTGGACAGGATCAGGTGGCACTGTGGGCTGTCACACCTAAGATGGCACCCTGAGGTGGGGAACTGGGGGCCCGTGGGGCTCCCATTTCCTCCTCCATCACACCCCACCCATTTAGGCCTCTGGGGCCCCTCTGTGCTGCACAAATTTGGACCTGCCTTATAGCCACACTGTGACTAGGCTGGGGAGGGAATGGTCCTGGCCAAAGATGCCAAGAAGTTGTCCAGCAGGAAAAGACTCTAGACAGAATGAAGACCTAGAACCCCTGGGGTCTGCCCCTTCCCCTTCAAGCTTCCCAAGATAGCGGGGGCTGCAGAAAGGTTCCCCTTCACAGGTGCAGGTGGCCAGCTGAGTGCTGGTTGGGGGTGTTGGCGGAGACTCTAGGACAGTGTAGGGGGTGTGGTGGATCAAAGGAGATGGTGGGGAGCCCCTTTAGCTCATTGAATCCTCTTTCTCTAGCAGGCTGGTGTCAGACAGTAGCCATAGGCCACCTCACTCCAAGGAGAACTTTGTTCCCAGGGAATCTGATATAGCAGGAAGGAAGCTGAAATTCCAGGCACCAAGACAGGCCAGTTGGGTGGAGAAAAACACTTGAGATCTGAAGTTATTTCCTGCATCAGGGCAGGGGGTCCTTGTGGGAAGTACTTTATGGTTTTGTAAGGTTCCCCAGATTCTAACCTTATCCCCCTCTAGGGGAGAGGGATAAGGGTGTGAATGGAGACTTTCTACCCAGGGCCAGACCTTCCTGAGCAGCCAGGGAACGGCATGGGAGGAAGCAGGGTGGGGAAACTGGCAAGGGATCTCTGGGGGAGCAGGTGTTTGTTCTGGTTGGGGACAGCCTTGCTTCTGTCCTGATCCTTGCACAGGGGTGTCCACTGTGCTCAGGGTTAGCTCCTCCCAGTGAAAAGTGTAGGCATCTACAGACCTGGCCCCAGGTCACGCCTGTCCCATAGGTGTAGGAGGATTGGGGGCTTCTCCAGGGGGTCCACAGGCAGACTTGAGATCCCTTCAAGCAATGAGTCTTGAGGCTGTGCCCTCTCTCTGTCTGCACTGGAGCCCCTCCAATATCTTGCTCTAGGTCTTTGAGCATCTCGGTGGTAGGAAGACTTGCATGTATTGGTCAGAATCTCCTCCCTTTATACTTTCATAGTCCTATTTCCCCTGCTCAAGGACCAACAAAGGTGGGGCAGTGGTGGGGATACCCCTGAAAATACTGATGCCAACTGAAGTAAATGTTCTAGGGGCCCTGCCTGCCACTGTGAGTGTTGGCTGCTACTGGCTCACGGCTGCCACCTCCTCTGGACAGCTGCCCTCAGCTGAATGGGAATGGCGTCACTTGGAGAGGTTTCCCTCCCATGCCCCCAGAACCAATGACAGACCAATATGGATGTACAAGAAGCTGGCCCCAGTTCTGTGCTACAGTTCTCCCTCTGCAGCTCCCCATGAATTCTAGCTGAGGTTAAACCTGAGGCTAGACTCCAGCCAAGACCACATCCTTCATAGCCCTTTTCCTGTCCCACTTCCCTCCCTCCCCTTTCTCCTGAGAACCATTCTTCAATAGACCTCACATATAAGGGTCTCCATCTTGGGCTCTGCTTCTAGGACACCTGACTTAAGGCACTGTCTACAATGGCCTGGGCTGTGCCTCTTGTCCCTCTGTCCCATTCCTGCAGGCTCACTCCCTCTCCAGGTGGCAGCAACCCTACAAACTCCCAGCAGGAGCAGGCTGAAGTTCTTTCACAATGCTCTGTGGTCCCAAGGGTAGTGGGTGCATACAGGCGTGGGAACAGGCCTGGGCCTTCCTGAGCAGTGTTCTCTGCCCGCCTGCATGTCCTCACCAGGTAGGCAGCTTCCCGCATGAACTGCTTGGCCGGCTGTTTCCAGATGGCAGGCACCGTCAACACCCAGCGCACAGTGTCCTTTCCTGGCAGCGATGGGCTCTGCTCCCTCAGCTCCTGGTGTAGAAGGGGGCAGTGAGAGGAAGAGCTGGCTTGGAGGGAGGGTGGTCTTCAGCCCTCTGTGGAGCTGGAGAAACTAATCAAACTACAGGAAAGACTTCCCAGCTGAGTTGGAAGAATCGGGCCCCCTCCCATCAGTATGGCTTGGTACAGGCTCTACCAGACGAAAAGAGAGGGAACTGGAGAAAATGACCTCGGACCTCTGGCAGTGGCTACGCATCCAATGTCGGGGGCGGGAATGTTCGGATGAGGGGAAAGGATGGGAGTAGAGGGGCCTGGGGGTCCCTGCTGCAGTCAGCAGTAGTGGGGCCGCAGCATACCTGAAGGGCGTGCTCCCTGAAGAAGCGGAGGGCATGGGCGAACACCTCCAGGGCAGGCATCTTCTTTCCATTTACTGCCTCTAGTTGGGTCTTCAAGGTGAGATCCTGGCAGGGACACAGGGTGGCTCTGGAGGAAGCCTCAGCTCTGCCCTCATTTCCTGACGACCTCATTCTTAAAACCACCCCATTTTCTGAAGCTTCCCCTCCTCTTTAGCACCGTCTCATTCTTGCCCCAATCTGACATTAGCTCTGCCCCAGCACCTCTCCTTAGCCCCACCCTTCCCGCAACCCGTTTCACTATTAGCCCGCTTCCAGGTGTCTCACTTCTGAGTTCCTCCCACACTGGGGTCCGAAGTCTCCCTTTAGCCCCGCCCCCTCTCAGCCAGGACTCCCTCGGGCCAGTCCTTACACCTTTAGGTTTTGTCCCACCCTCCCATTAGCTTTCCCAGGCAGGCGCAGGCCCCGCCTCCCTGTCTGAAGCCCGTTGACTCACTATGGCGCTGTGGATCTTCATCTTGAACTTCTCGAAGTAGAGCCAGTCCCGGGCCTCCTCGGGATCCAGGTCATGATAGTAATCGCGGGCGGTGTAGCCAAAGCTGTGGAAGGCGCCCTCTGGGGTCAGCAGCAGGCAGGTCGGGGTCTTCTGGTGGGCCACGCCCGGGTCTCCGCCCTCCCATTTCCTGCGGGACACCGGGCCGTCAGTGCAACCCTCCCTTCCTGGGTGGGAATCCAGGCAGAGGGAACAGCATATGCAAAAACTTACAGGTGAGCAAGAGCAGGGAGAACTAGCTACGGGACGGCTGGATATGCAGCCGGAGAAAATACAAGAATGCTAAGGTCAAATCATGAAGAGAACAGAATGTCATTAGGAGCTCTGTCTAGGTGGATTTTAAGTAGCAAAGAGATATGACCACATTTGCCTTTAGAAAGAAAGGTCACTGGCTCCCGTGGAGCAACAGAACGGAGGAGAAAGGAAACCGGGGAGGAGGACGCTGCCGCCATTCAGGTGAGAGAAGGTCGGGGCTGAACTTGAGCAGGATCGGTGGCCCAAGAGAAGAAGATGGGGATTCTAGGTGTTAGGGAAACATCTAGAGATGTTAGGGGCTTGGTGGCTGATGGGAAGAGAAGGCTTGGGAGGAGGCCAGGATGTCCCCCAGTTGTTTCCTGTGACTGTCACCTCCACAGGACAGAGACAGTGTCCCTGCATGTGTCCTTAGCCCCAGCATGGCCTCAGCTGTGTGTCTTGATGAGCCTGTAGTTCCTATAGCACTGTTAGTGCCCAGAGCCTTTGTGGCTTCCTATGATGCAGGAGGAAGGACAGCCCAATCTCACGAAGCTCAAGTCCTATGTATTTTGGGAGCAGTTACCTGTCTGTCTCTCCATTCACCCTTCCAGCCAGCCTCCAGGCCTGGGGAAGCCCCTCTTACCTCCCATCCCAGTCCGGGTTGAGAGCTTTGAGGTCTCCTATAGCTTCACCTACTGCCTGCCGACCCCCTAGGACACATCCAGAGGACTGGGGTCTTGAGGTCCAGAGGAGAGTGTTCACACAAAACCCAACAACATCTGAATAGAATTTTGAAACATTTCTTTCATAACAACTGTGTGACTCGTCAACTCAACCCTTGGAACCTTCATTTTCTTGGTTTTTATTTGAGATGTTGGACCTAGGAATTACCACTTGGAATCTACCCCATAGAGATTGCAGCACAAGTTTCCAAAGAAGCATATTACTGTTGCACTTCTTGTAATAGTGAAAAATGAGTGGAGGAAAAAAAAAACCCTAAAACTGTCAATAGGGGAATGGATAAATTATGACACATCCGTACTGTGGGAATACTAGGCAACCATTCAAAGAAAGTGGTAGCTTTGTATGTACTGACATGAAATAGCTACAAAATAGTGTTGAAGGTTTAAAACAAAGGAAATTGTATATCTCACTTTTACTTAAAAAACACATATGTGTGTATATGTGTGTGTTTGAGTACAAGCTTAGAAAAAGATTTGTGGGCTGGGCACGGTGGCTCACACCTGTAATGCCAGCATTTTGGGAGACCAAGGTGGGAGGACCACTTGAGGCCAGGAGTTTAAGACTAGCCCTGGCAACATAGTGAAACCCTGTCTCTCCAAAAAAGATTTTTTTTTTTTAATTAGCCAGGAGGCTGAGGTGGGAGGATTGCTTGAGCCCAGGAGTTTAAGGCTGCAGTGAGCTATGATCATACCACTGCACTTCAGCCTGTGTGATAGAGGGAGACCCTGTCTCAAATAAAAAAAAGTAAGAAAGAAAGAAAATTAAAAAGGCCAGGTGTGGTGACTCACGCCTGTAATCCTAGCACTCTGGAAGGCCGAGGCGGGTGGATCACCTGAGGTCAGGAGTTCGAGACCAGCTTGGCTGACATAGTGAAACCAAGTCTCTACTAAAAATACAAAAATTAGCCAGGTGTGGTGGCACATGCCTGTAGTCCCAGTTACTCAGCAGGCTGAGGCAGGAGAATTGCTTGAACCCGGGAGGCAGAGATTGCAGTGAGCCGAGATTGTGCCACTGCCCTCCAGCCTGAACAGAGCGAGATTCCATCTCAAAAAGAAAAGAAAAGAAAAAGGATTTGCATATTTTATTGTATGTTTGTTATATCTCAAAAAAATTAAAAACGAAGTCTGATTTTTCCTTCAGAGGGCTGGGAGCTGCTCCAGTTGAGACCACGGACCCAGGCCTGGGGCCTATCCTCCAAACTTTTGCCCCAGTGAGGAGCCCCAGACTAGGGACGGCAGGGCCTCTGAGGAGACCCCATGTCTCGGTGACAGTACTTTTGGGACCAAGATTATCCCAGGGTACGAGGGACTCCCCACGCTCCCCACCTCACTCTCCCAGCCCAGCTGCCCTCACCTCATCATGTGGATGGCCTCAGGGTCACTGGCAAAGCTGAAAGCATAGCCACTAGATGTGGTGCCGAAGTCAATGGCCACCACCACAGAGAAGGAGGCCTGCTGGGGGGCTCGGGCCTCGGGCTTCTGCAAGTGCAAGACCTAGAATTAGCAAGCAGCCAGGAGGGACACCCCCACACTCACCCCCAACACTTCCTCTGCATGGGGGAGACACTCCTCTCCACTGACTGTGATCCAGACTGGCCCTGGCCCTGGCCCACCCCACCTGCCCACCTGTCCGGGCTCCCCTGCCCTCCCAGGCTCCAGGCTGAGCCTTGGACATGCCTCTCAGGTAGCCCCAGGAAGGGTTCGGCTCAAGCTCCTGCTTTCTTGCTTCTAGTCTCTGCCTACCCTCTGCCTGGACTGCCTTAGCCCCACCCCTACCTCACACCATCTTCATAGGCAGCCACCAGCCTGGGCCCAGCTGAGAGCAATTTTGCTCCTCCAGGTAGCTTTACAACACATGGACCAGTGTATATTTTACCCTCTTGCTCTTTGTGGGCAAAGTGACACAAACCAGACTGTCTGATTCTGTGGCAGAGAGGACAGGCCATGTGCATGCCCCCAGAGAGCCTGGGCTCCCTGAGAATAAGGAAGTCCCTAAGCTGGATCGCCAGGGCAAGGTCATCCAGATGGGGTAACCCAGGGAGCTTGTGTCCTGGATACTTCAAGCTACTGGTTTCCTTTTTTAATTATTTTTATTTTATTTATTTATTTTTTTAGAGACAGGCTTTCGCTGTGTTAACCAGGATAGTCTCAGTCTCCTGACCTCGTGATCCACCTGCCTTGGCCTCCAAAAGTGCTGGATAACAGGTGTGAACCACGGTGCCCAGCCTCCTTTTTTTCTTTTTCTTTCTTTTTTTTTTTTTTTTTTTGACAAGGTCTCACTCTGTCACCCAGGCTCGAGTGCAGTGGTGTGATCTTGGCTCACTGCAACCTCTGCTTCCCAGGTTCAAGCGATTCTCCACCCTCAGACTCCTGAGTAGCTGGGATTACAGATGCGTGCCACCACGCCCGGCTAATTTTTGTATTTTTTGTAGAGGTGGGGTTTCGCTCTGTTGTCCAGGCTGTTCTCAAACTCCTGAACTCAAAGCAATCTGCCCACCTAGGCCTCCCAAAATGCTGGAATTACAGGAGTGAGCCACCGTGGCCAGCTCAAACTAATAGTTTCCAGACTATTGTTTTTTTAGCAACACATCTCCTCTCCCCTAGATATGACTTGAATTAAAGTGGGCTGTGGTCAACAGGAGGCCCAGTGCTCTGGGAACCTAGAAAAGCCACATGCTCAGAGGAACACTTGCCTCAGTCAGGCCAGCTTCAATGGCCGTATGCCTCCTGTGCAGGGAGGGTTGGGAGTTAGTTACATGGGGCTCACCTTCTCAGTAGAATTGATACCCTTACAGTCCAGGGCCTCCCAAGCCAATCCTTCTAGGGGGCACATGACTGGAGTGTATGGGGACAGGAGGCATGGTGGTGCCCCCGTGCCCTCCTCCTTTCCAGCCCAGGCCCTGCCGTGATTTTGCCAGGCGTGAGCCCATCCATACCACCCAGGTCTCCCACCACCTGATCCCTGCTCCGGGCTTACTGGAGACTGCGAGGGTGTGAGGGGGGCAATGCCACAGCTTTCCTGGGTCCTTGGGGAGCCGGGTGGGCTGGGCACTGGGGACCGCTCCGGGCTAGAGCCTGCAGAGAAGAGAGGGCAGGTCATCCTGGCACAAGCAGGGTAGGGATAGCAGCGGGGCCCCAAGCCAGGCACCCAGAGGTTCTCTATTTGTCCTTACTGGGCTAAGGCAAAGGGCTCTCTGCTGGGCAGGAGGACTGCAGGGGGGTTGGTGGTGGTGTAGGAAGGACATGTGTGATGTAGGGGCAGGGGCTGAGGGTCTGCTATCAGAGGCAACCTTTCCCTATCGGATGACACATGCTTCCCCTGGGGACTCACCGTCTCCCCCCTAGGGCTCCTCAGACACAAACTGCATGAGGGGAGAGAGACAGAAGCATTGTGTGGCAGGGAGACTCAGTCCGGAGATGGAAGGGCAGGGGAGATGGGCGGGTGAGCTCCTGGGGTGGGTGTGAAGGAGAGAGAAACCCTCCTCCTTCAAAAGGTGGGGCTACAGAACTAGCTGGCCAGGAGGTGGGGTTGCCCCCCTCCACCCTAAAGTTGGGCCACATGTTCTAATCAGGACTTGTGGGAACATCCCAGCTTCCATGCCCATAAGAGCCACAGACAGGCCCAGCTGGCTGCTTGGGGAAGATCCAGGAGAGGCAGCACCTCCTCCCTCGCTCATAACATTAGTAATCTGACTCCCACACCCCGCCACACACACATACACACACCCTGGGCCAGCATTTGGGGGAAGGAGGCTCCACCGAAACCCTCTTGCAGGCCTGGGACTGAGCTGGACCTTTGGTGGGAGGGAATGGAGTAACCCTGGAGGGCAGCCCCAGGCCTAGTTCCAAGGATCAGGCAGCTCATGGGGCAGAAGGGCCTGCCTGGCTGGACACCCACAGGGGTGGATTAGTAGCTGCCACCACCTCACTGGGCATTGCTAAGGGGCATGTGAAAGGTACTGGGGCTGCCTTGAGATCCATCAATGAGCCAGGGACGCTGGCTAGGGAGGGAGTGTGGGATCTGGCAGGCTTGGCCCGCCTTAGGTTGAGCTGGGCAGGGCCTGTGCTCTCTCAGCCACAGTCCTGCCATGTACCGCCAGGCAGGTCTCTGCTCTCCCTGGCCTTGGGGGTAACCTGGGAACATAGGTGAAGGGCCAGGCATGAGGGGGACTTGGGAAATGCCTGGACAGGGCCAGAGTCTGTAGAGTTGCTGGAGGGGCAGGGACAAAGTGACCATATTCCAAGGGCTCCCTCTCCTTAGGCAGCCAGGGCAGGCTCCAGCCCTGCCACCATCTGCAGCCTGAGAGACCAAGTTGCTGTGGCTCAAGCTTGGGAAGGGAGGCAGGAAGGAAGGGCCCAGCCCACCAGGTCTTTGTGAATGGACTTCCTGAGGAGTGTCCCTCCTGCCTCCGGCCTCCCTCCCCTGCAGAGAACCCACAGCCTGCTCCCAGACCAGGCTATGGGCAGATGTGCGTGCACATGAAGAAATCTCTGCATGCGTGCCCACCTGCAGACTATACTCCCGTACATAGGTCCTCTTCACAGAGACCTGCCCACAGAGACACACACCCAGGCAATCACACGGGGTCCTGTGCACACAGCCTGAACAAAACATATGCACATGCAAACACTCCTGTACACACAGACCCTCCATGCACACGAAGAAATCTCTGCATGCGTGCCCACCTGCAGACTATACTCCCGTACATAGGTCCTGTGCACAGAGACCTGCCCACAGAGACACACATTCACTGAGGACACTCACACAGGGTCCTGTGCACACAGCCAGCACACAGACCCTCCTGGCACACATACACACTCTCAGCCCACACTCATATACACATGGGGTCCTGTGAATAAGCCAGTTCTGTGTGCACACATACTCATACATATTCACATACACAGACCTGTACACACAGACCCTCCCTGCACACACAGGGGGCCCAGTAAACACAGACCTGCCCTGCACACACACACACACACACACACACACACTCACAGAAAGGCTGTCAGGAAGCTCTGCGGGAGAGGCACATTGGACAGCCTGTAGGTGGGTCTCAGCACCTGCTGGGGTGAGTGGGTGGTGGTCGGCGCAGAGTGGTGGGGGTTCTTACCGATGTACAGACCCTGCAGGCCCATCTCCGGGACAGCCAGCATCCTTGCAGGCCCTGTAGCTGTCAACAGGAACAGACAAGCAGATTGGGATTTATTTGTCCCTTTGTTCCCTCACCGAATGCTTATTTATTTTATTTGTTTACTTTTGGCTGGAGTCCTTTGAAGCAAATCCCAGCCGTCATGTTGTTTCACCTATGAACTCTTTAATACGGCTCTCCAACAGATAAAGATGTTTTACACAACGTCACGACGCCATTCTCACATCTAACAAAATTAACAGGAACTCCTTAAATCTGATCTAAAGTCCCAGAGTGCCAAGCTTGTCTCAAAAATGGCTTTGCTTTCTTGGAATCGGGATCTTCCTAAACGTTTTCTGGTGCCTGCTCTGTGCCAGGTGCTGAGAGATATCCGAGACCCAGAGAGACAATGTCTCTGCCTTGGAAACCAACAGTCTGATGGAGGAGATAATCAGGAAAGTAATTTTGAAATGACAAGTGATGCTGAGTTCTGGGAAGGTCAAAGCTGGATAATGTGGGGCGGGAAGCGGGCATGGAAGTCTGGATGGGGGGCTGGGCTGAGCTCACCCTGCAGGCAGGCCCCTGTGCACCCTGGTTCAGATTTGGTTTTATATGAACAGCAAAAGCAAATCTTGAAAGGTCTGAGGTGATAGAGTGGGGTACAGGCATGACTCAATTTGTCTTTTCTGTTTTTTGAGACAGAGTCTCACTCTGTTGTCCAGGCTGGAGTGCAGTGTCGTGATCTTGGCTCACTGCAACCTCCACCTCCCAGGTTGGAGCCATTTTCTTGCCTCGGCCTCCTGAATAGCTGGGACTACAGGCACCCCCATGCCCAACTAATTTTTGTATTTTTAGTAGAGACAGGCTTTCACCATGTTGGCCAGGCTGGTCTTGAATTTCTGACCTCAGGTGATCGCCTGCCTCAGCCTCCCGAAGTGCTGGGATTACAGGCGTGAGCCACTGCACCTGGCTTTCTTCTTCTTCTTCTTTTTTTTATTAAAGTGTAGGTTCTCCTTGAGACAGATAGGGTGTCACTCTGTCTCGAGAAGAACGTATACTTTAAGGCTGAACAGAGGAACATGAACTAGCCAAGGAAATTGAGATGCCCCCATGGTCTCATGAAGATTGTACAAAGAGAGGGGTGAAGCTAGATCCCTGTAAGAGGTCTTCAGATGAGACTGGAAACACCTGTTTTAGTAGGGCAGGTAAGCTGAGGTGAGGAGTGGGCAAGAGGTCACATGAGCTTGAGCTAGAACGTATTCTTTTTTTTTTTTTTTTTTTTGGATGGAGTCTCCCTCTGTTGCCTAGGCTGGAGTTCGGTGGTGTAATTTTGGCTCACTGCAACCTCCGTCTCCTGGGTTCAAACAATTCTCCCGCCTCAGCCTCCCAAGTAGCTGGGATTACAGGTGCCTGCCACCATGGCTGACTAATTTTTGTATTTTAGTAGAGGTGGGGTTTCACCATGTTGACCAGACTGGTCTCGAACTCCTGACTTCAGGTGATCTGCCTGCCTCAAGTGATCCTGCCCCGAAGTGCTGGGATTTCATGTGTGAACCACTGAGCCCGGCTAGAACTTCTTAAGTTGGGGTCTCGCTCTGTTCTTGCCCAGGCTGGAGTGCAGTGACGCAATCATATTGAGATAGAACTTCTGAGAAGCTTGGCTGAGATCAGGAATACATCTGAGGGCAGTAGCTGGAGGAAGCTAAAGCTGAAGGGAACTGAGGAAGAATGTTTATTTTCTACAATGGGTGAGGCTTGATCCTGTCTATGAAGTTCTGGGGCCAGAATTCTCCAAACCATTAACAGCTTTGTTACTCAAAGTGTGGGCTAAGACCAGCAACACTGGTATCACCTGGCAGCTTGTTAGAAATGCAGAACCTCAGGCCCCATCCCACACCTGCTGAATCAGAACCCATATTTTACTTTTATTTATTTATTTTTGAGACAGAGTCTCACTCTGTCCCCCAGGCTGGAGTACAGTGGCATGATCTCAGTTCTCAGCTCGCTATAATCTCCACCTCCCAGATTCAAGCGATTATCCTGCCGCAGCCTCCCAAGTAGCTGGGACTACAGGCATGCACCACCATGCCCAGCTAATTTTGTAGTTTCAGTAGAGACAGGGTCTCCCCATGTTGGCCAGGCTGGTCTCGAACTCTGGCCTCAAGTGATCCACCTGCCTTGGCCTCCCAAAGTGCTGGGATTACAGGCCTGAGCCACCACGCCTGGCCTATTTTAACAAAATTCCCAGGTGATTCGGGTACACACTAAACTTTGAGAACTGTTGCTCCCCAGTGTCTCTCAGACAGTCTGCAGCCCACTGACACTATGTTCTCATTGGTGGGCCTGGTTGCTCCCCTAAACAAAAGGGGAGGCTACACAGGGCCAGTCCACTCCCTCTCTGTCACCAGTGGCCCGATCAGAAAGTTCTGCTATAGAACACAGGCAGACACAGAGCTGGGCTCTGGCATGCCCGTATACACATGCTCACACCCTTGCTTATACAGTTCACACAAACCAGCCCCACTGTAGACAGACACCTGGACTCCCACACACTCATATGTCCAGGATTCTCCTGCATGGCCAGCACCATGGAGATTTCCAGACACTCTTGCTGTCCTCTGTACCACTGGAGGTACACAGTTGGGTGCTCAGGAATCAGAATCAGAAGGATGGGGGCTGGTCATGAGCACACATACAGCAGCTGGCTGATGCAGAGAAAGAGGAAAGCACAGAGAGGGGAAGGGAAGGGTCTTGGGAGCCAGGGGCAGGAGCCCAGCTCAGGGTAATGGAGTGGGGTGCTGACCTGGGTCCCACGAGCGATTCTTTCTATCTCTTTCCAATTCTGCATTCAATGACATCACATTGGTAGCTTGAAATCAGTCATGGCTGGGAGTCTTTACACCACAGAAATTGGCAAGCACTACAAATCAGGATTTTTCCTTCTTCCATAGCTGAACCAGCATACCACTGGATCAAGGCCTCGAGGGAGGAGCTGGCAGCCCTATTTGTATATTATTTTTATTCTTCAGCACTTACCGAGCATTTCTTCATGCCAGACTCTGTGCTAAGCACTGGGGAACCACTTTGTTGAATGAATGAATGAATGGATTTTCTGGACCAAGGCTCTTATACCTATTATTCTTCTAGGAGAAGAAACAACCTAGAACTACCAGGAAAAAAAAAGACGCTGGACTGGGTGCAGTGGCTCAAGCCTGTAATCCCAGCACTTTGGGAGGTTGAGGCAGGTGGATCACTTGAAGTCAGGAGTTTGAAACCAGCCTGGCCAACATGGTTAAATCCTCGTCTCTACTGAAAATACAAAAATTAGCTGGGTGTAGTGGCAGACACCTGTAATCTCAGCTACTCAGGAGGCTGAGGCAGGAGAATTGCTTGAACCTGGGAGGCAGAGGTTGCAGTGAGCCATGATCGTGCCATTGCACTCCAGCCTGGGCGACAAGAGTGAGACTCCGTCTCAAAGAAAAAGACTCTGAGTCCTCACTCTATACTGGATTCCACATCCAAACCATAGGCCCATATGTCCCCGACTATCAGAAGCTTGTCCAGTTATCTACCATCTCTCATTGTGCGATTTGCTGAGTGCCCCTATGCTGGGGTTTCAGGGATGGCAAGAGCCTATTATGGCACCTGGCATCATGCCACATTTTTGTGCCTCAGTGCCCTTTCCTGTAGAATGGGTGACACAGAGGGCTTATGTTAACAAGTTCAGATATGCAAGGTATTGATAAAAGCAGGGAGTTAGGCAGGTTTGAGCAGTGTTCTTTCCCTTCGTGATGAGGATTCTAATTTTTCTTGTTAGGAGTTTTTGGTCTTACTGAGAATCGAGTTATCATGGGTTCTTTAAGGAAGGAGGTAGGAACTAAATTTGTGTTAAAGGTTGGGTCTGGTGGCTCATGACTGTAGTTCTAGCACTTTGGGAGGTCAAAGCGCTTTGGGAGTGGACTGCTTGAGCTCAGGAGTTTGAGACCAGCCTGGGCAACATGGCAAAATCCCTTCTCTATAAAAAAATACAAATATTAGCCAGGTGTTGTGGCGCATGCCTAGAGTCTCAGCCACTTTGGATGCTGAGGTGGGAAAATTGCTTGAGCGTGGAAGGTTGAAGCTGCTGTGAGCCACGATCATACCACTGCACTCCAGCCTGGGCAACAGAGCGAGACCCTGTCGCAAAAAAAAAAAAAAAAAAAATTGTGTTAAAGAAAGAGGATCCCATGGATTCTCCGAGAGGTGGAGGTAAGCCAAGAGGTGGCCGAATGCCAAGCAAGCACACACACCCAGGAACACTTAAGGAGAATGCTGACCACAGAACACAGGACAAGCCCAGCTCCCAAAAGCTAGGTCTGGGCAGAGTCCACAGCTGAAAATGAGGGGAGGCTGACCCCCGCTTTAGGGGCCTACTAATTTCAGACTGGTGGTGCCTATGGGTTTGAGAGTAATTGAGTGAGACAGTTTGATTTACACAGCAAGTAACTGCATTTCCTGGCTACAAGCATATGTCAAACTCTGGCCGCAGCCTGATCCCTAACCCTGCCCATGGACTGACCCCTAACTCTTGGCTTCATATTGACCTCTAGTCAGCTTCACCCTGTCCCCCTGGCCCTGACTTCTACCCAATAGACAGGACCTATTAGTCACTGGGGACCAGGATAGGGTGTGGCCCGGCAGGAACTCACAACCAGAGACTCCCATCCCAGAGTGCCCCCTGGTCTCACAATAGCCTAGGACACCCCCCCTCCTTTTTTTTTTTTTTGAGACAGGGTCTTGCTCTGTTGCCCAGGCTAGAGTGCAGTGGCACAATCATGGCTCACTGCAGCCTCGACCACCTGGCCTCAAGCAATCCTCACATTTCAGTCTCTCAAAGTGCTGGGATTGCAGGTATGAGCCACCACATAGGGGCCAGACCCTTTGCCTGATGGAGAGAATCCTCGGAGGATCTCTTCCTGGGTGGGGTGTTTCAGCTGGGCACTCAAGTCTCCAGGAGCACTGTGGGCAAGCAGTGCTCTGGGTTTCAGGGCTACACTCGATGCCAGTGTAGAAAAAGCACTCACCGGTCCTTCCAGCTCCCCTCCTCACTGGGACCCTGCCTCTTCTGCCTGCTGCTCTCTGCTCAGCACCCAGCCAGGCCTGTAATGGAACAGGACTCCGTCTGTGGGCTGAGGCCACAGGCGTTTCTTCCAAGCCACAGACTGGGACAACCAGGGCCCAAGGCACGCATTAGAAACGGCACCCAAAGGGCTGCCCCACTCTGTTCTGGAGAGGAGCACTTATGAAGAAGGGACCGTGGGTGGCTGAGTGAGGTGGCTGCCCCATCCTGTGCTGGGTCAGGGAGTGACAGAAATGGCCTCCTATGACCCCTCCCTGTCCGCATCTTTGCTTTCCATACATCCTGCCGCACCCCCTTGGGTCCTCATCATGGGAGCAGCCAGCTCACAAACAACAGAGCCCCTCCCATGCTCTGCCCACAGCCCCCCATTACCCCTCTCGCCTGAGATTCCTGGACTGCAGTGTGCCCTCCGAGGAGTCCCTGGTTTCGTGCTCATTCCCTTCCAGTGTCTTATCAACACCACGCTAGCCTCACAGACAGGCTCCCCTGTCCTAACGGGAACCTGAACCCCACCCCATCTGGACCTCAAGCTGGCCCCGAGCGCCAGGTCCCAGCCTCAGACCCTGGCACCCCGGCCACTCAGCACTCTGTTGCATTTCGGGACCACAGGACCTGGAGCCCCTGAGGCACCCCCCAACACACACACATACACCCACCCCCAGGTTTCCACCTCAGGCCTAGGCACCGAGTCCCCCAAATTGGCTCCCTGGAGCGGGCCCCAGCCCACACCAGTCCTGCCAGCCCTTAAGACACAGGAGTTTCTCCAGCCCCAGCCTCTGAGCAGCTCTGCAAGGGGTAGAGGAGGTGGTCCCCCGAAGCCCGGGTGGGAGCTCACGGTCGCTGCCCCAAGTGCCTTCCCGAACCCGTAGCCCCGCTGGAGAGAGAGGCTTACAGATCTGCCCCACCAGACACACGGAGTCTGGAGGTTTTTGGTGGGTCTCAGCCGACAGCCCGGGACGGCAAACCTCCACGCCTTTCTCCACTCGGGGCCCCCAGCAGCCCCCGCCCCAGAACTCACCTCCGCCCTCCCGACAGCTCCAGCCCCGTCCAGCCGCCGCGATCCCGGGCCCGCAGCCCGCTGGCCGTGCCTGCCGCGGTGGCCGCAGCCCTAGACGTGCGCCCGGCCCCGCTGCCTCCGGCCTCCCCGCGCCGCCCACCCCGCCCGCCGCCCCCTCCCCCGGCCGGATGGCCGCGCCGCCCGCGCTCCCGGCCCAGATGTGCGAGGTCGGGGCGGGGCCTGCCTGCGCGGGCCTCCGCCTAGGGGCCCAGCCTTGCCCCGCGTCCAGGGCCCCTCCCTGAGCCCCTTCAGCGCCTCCCCGACTCCACGAGCAGCCCAGAGGGTGGGAGCAGGGAGAGGGGGCGGCGGAGGGAGGGGAAGAGGAATTCCAGACCCTCGTCGGCCTCCTTCGGTCCAGCTGCCGAGGGGCTCCCTTGCTCCTCCCCCACGGGCCCACCTTGGGGCTCAGCCTCTGCCTCTTCAGCGAGGGACCAGCTGTTGGGGAGGGAGGGGGAGGGCCCGCCCAGCCCGCCCAGGCCCCTCTACTTCCCTGCCCCAGACCCCTCCAGTCCCTCGACCCAGAACCCCCCTCCTCCCGCCCCCAGCCCCTGCAGTTTCCCTAGCCCGGTCCCCAGTAGCCAGTGGCCAGAAAAGAAGCAGAATCGCGGATGAGGGCAGGCCCTCGAACCCCCAGGCTGGGCCTAGCTCTGTTCTTGCTCAAGTTCAGATATGCCAACCGAGGAGTCTCACAGACCGAGACCCCAGGCCCGACAAGGGACCACTCCGCAGCAAGAGACACCCAGTCTCTCCTACGGGGCTCACAGCGTTTTTCTTGTTTTCACGTGGCCTTTTTGGGGATGCTGAGACTTGGCCTCCAAAGAGTTTGTGGGGTGAAGACCTTTTTCTGGGCTGGGCACCGTGGCTCATGCCTGTAATCCATGGCTTTGGGAGTCTGAGGCGGGAGGACGGCTTGAAGCCAGGAGTTGTAGACCAGCCTGGGCAACAAAGGAAGACTCTGTCTCTAAAAAATTCAAAAAATTAGCCAGGTGCAGTAGCTCATGCCTGTAGTCCCAGCTACTCAGGAGGCTGGGGTGGAGGATTGCTTGAGTGCAGGAGTTTGAGGCAGCAGTGAGGGTGATTGCACCTGTGCACTCCAGCTTGGGTGATAGAGAGAGAGAGAGACCCTGTCATAAATAAATGAATGAATAGATGAATGAATGAATGAATGACTTTCTGCTGGGTCCCTTGTGGAACTTTCAAAGGCAGCTGACTTGTTATGCCTGTTCCCCTTCCCCTCTGCCCCATGTGTCCCCACAGAAGTTCCAGATGCTTCTCAGTCTACCACCTCCCTTTGTGCAGGGGAGGCTGCCCGTCAGACAAGAGCCCCACAGCCCCATCAAATGAAGCCCAGTTCTTGGGGCATCCCTTTTGCTCTTTCACTCCAGACCTTTGCAGGGGCCATTTTCCCTCCCTGAAATGCTTTCCCTCCTCCTCTCTGTGCAGCCCAAATGCTCCCCAGCTACAGCGTCACCTCCCTAGGCTTGGTGCCTTTCTTCTCAGGGCCACTGCCCCAGAGGGCCTCCTTAATGAGGTAGGCAGGAGGGGTGCACTGTACCAACAATTCTGGATCCCAAGCCCGCATGGTATCCAATCAGCAATCTCCATAGCCTGCCTCCCAGTGTGCGCCTATGTGTATCTGTCTGTGCATCTGTTGGTGTGTCTGTGTCTGTGCTTGAGTGTGTCTTCGTATGTGTAAGACTGTATGCTTGTATGTGTTCATGTGTATTTCCTGAAAAGTCTGTGTCTGTGTGTATCTATGTGTGTCTGTGTGTGTGCTAGTGTGTGACTGTTTGTGTTTTTTGTGTGCTTTTTTTTTTTTTTTTGACAGAGTCTTGTTCTGTTGCCCAGACTGGAATGCAGTGGCACAATTTTTTGCATTTTTAGTAGAGACAGGGTTTCACCATGTTAGCCAGGATAGTCTCAATTTCCTGACCTCATGATCCACCTGCCTTGGCCTCCCAAAATGCTGGGATTAGAGGCATGAGCCACCATGGCTGGCCAACTGTTTGTGCATTATGTGTTTGTGTGTTGCTGTGTCTTGTGTCTTTGTGTCTGTGTGTGAGAGTGTGTCTGCATTTGTCTGTGTGTAACAGGAGTCCCTGGTCAGGGCCTGCAAGCCTATATCTCGTTTGAGGCTGAGCAGAGCCAGGAGGATCTGAAGTGTGAGAGTCTGCTGTGCATGCCTGGGGCTACAGGGTCTGGCCCTCACACACATGCCCGCCTTGTTTTTCTTTTTCCCTTCACCTGGTTTCCCTCCATCCCCACCTCCAGCTCCAGTGATGGGCTCATATCTGAGGGCCACAGCAGCAGGTTCTGAGAAGGGGTGAAGACTCATGGAGGGGGGATCCCCAGTCCTCAGTGCCAGCACCCTCCATGCCCTCCTGCTTGGAAGCTCCCTCCTTCCCTCACACCCACATTTCAGACCTCCTTAGTCTGATGAGGGAGTGACAGATCCCACCCTTTGGCTGCATCCGATCTGAATTGAGAGAAGGATAGCAAATAGCCTGAATGAGCCCACATTCCACACTAGAGGAAGCTCAATTCAATCGCCCAGGTGGGCGTGGATGAGGGTCCTCAGAGCCCCTGCCCTCCACCTCTCTGTGCCTGCCCATCTCCCTCCTGCTGCGCTTCAGGACTGTTGCCGGCCCACCCACTGACCTCATTGACTTCCTGTGTCTCCCTGGGTGGGGGTAGCATGAAGAAGAATCAGCCTCTAAGTATGTCCTCCCCAGGAGTGGCCTCTCCCCAGGCCAGCCGCTTTCCTCTGGACCGTGGCCAGGGTCTTTGCCTCCCATGAGATGCCCTCCCTGTCAGCCATGTGTCCCAGTCCATCTCTATCTGCGACTAGAGGTGATTTTCTTTATTTTCTTTCTTTCTTTATTTTTGAGACAGAGTCTTGCTCTGTCGCCCAGGCTAGAATGCAGTGGTGCTATCTTGGCTCACTGCAACCTCTGCCTCCCAGGCTCAAGCAATTCTTCTGCCTCAGCTTCCCGAGTAGCTGGGATTACAGGCCTGAGCCAACATGCCTGGCTAATTTTTTGTATTTTTAGTTGCGACGGGGTTTTGCCACGTTGGCAGGCTCATCTTGAACTCCTGACCTCAGGTGATCCACCTGCCTCGGCCTCCCAAAGTGCTGGGATTACAGGCATGAGTCACCACGCCCAGCCCAGAAATGACTTTCAAAGGTGCAAATCTGGTGCCATCCTGTCACCACTTCAACACCCTTCATGGCTCCCAAGATCAAGAGAAGAGCCAAGGTGTGGATTGCCCTTAGCTGATCTCCCTAACTCTCCTTCCCAACCTTAGCCTCCAACCCCAACTCCTGCCCCTCGGGCACATCCTGCCTTCTGTGCTTCTGAACGTTCCACCTAGGCCAGCTCCAGCCCTGAGCTGCTCATCCACATCCATCCCTACCTCAGGTGGTCAGGGAGAAAGTGGTCCCTTAGACCCTTGTGTGGGTGCTGTGTCTGCTTGGGTAGTCCCCTGGCCCCAGGCCCCCTCTATGGCACTGTCAAGAAGACTTTCTGGGTTTGGAAGGCAGGAGCAGGGCCCTCTTTGCAAGTGCCCACTGCCTGGCCCTATCAGCAGAGCAGCAGGCAGTTTTAGGGCAGAGGGTGAAGTTTGTTTCTAAGACATGTCATCCCTGACCTAAGCCTGTTAGCACTGAGGGACTATGGAGAGAATTTTGCATGTCCCCCCTTCCCTCGGGGCTCCTGCCCAAGCCTGGCTGCTTATTCTCCAGGGCTTGGGGCACATGTGTTGCACATGCACACACACGAACCCATGCACATGTGCACATACACAGATGCATGCACACACACACACACACACACACACAATGGGGAGGGCAGGTGCCTCTACCACCTGCCTCAGGAGGGAAGGGAGAGTGGGGAGGCTTTCTCCACTAGTGGGCCTTATTGACTGAACCTTAGGTGTGCTGGTGCCCCACTGGGTCCCCTACCCTGATCCCTGATGCTTCAGTTCCCCTCACCACAACCACGGGGGGAAGTACTCTTCACCCTCTTTCTACAGGTGAGAAAGCTGAAGCTTAGAACAGGTCACTGCCCCACACAGACTCCACGGGCTGCACTGGTGCTCATGCTCTTGTCTGTGTACAGCTCAGGAGGCTGGGGCAGGAGCATGGTACCTGAGCACCCAAGGGTGGCACCCAGCTGGTCACCCAGGCCCACCTGCTTATTCATGGGGATGGGAAGTGGGCAGCTCTTGGACTGCTCTTGTCTCCAGTGCCCTTCTACCCCAGTGCTGAGGGGTGAGCTTCCTTCCAGGAATTCCTCTGCCTGCCCCACCTAGCTGAACTTCCTCCCTGTGGCCAATTGCCTCAGGCCACATCATCTTCCTCCCTGGAAGCAGGAGTGTTAGAGGCGGAGCTGCTGGCAGGAGCCTGGTGCCCCAGGGTTCATGGCTCAGCCTTGGTGGCTCCCTCCTGTCGCTCCTCTGTCAACAGCTGGTGCCTTCTCCTTCATAAAAAGAAAGCCTTGGGGTCCCACCTTCCTGCTGAGCCTTCCCAATAGCAAACTCCAAATGACACCCAAAGCCAGGTTAAGCCAGGATTGGACCCACCTCCCAGACCTCTGTATTGACCACCCCCCCCCACACACTTTTGGCCTCTTCTCCCAGTGCGATGTGAGTTTTCCCAGGAGACAGGTGAGACTTCTTGAAGGAGGTGCCTCCGGATCTGAGCCTGAGGTGAGACTGAGAGTTCACCAGGTGGAGGAGCGTGAAGGGCATGCCAGGTGGAGGACATGGTACAGGCAAAGGTGCACAGGGTGGCATGGGCAGGAGGCAGAGTGGAGCTGACGTGCTTGGTGGCCAGTGGGATGGAGGGCTGGGTGACTTTGCCCCTGGTGCTTTCAGTAGAGACCTGCCCTTGTGTCTTGCTCTGCAGGCACTCTGCCTCCTTGGACAAGAACGTTCAGCCCCACCTGCTCCACCTGTACATCTTCTGTTTGGGGTTTTCAGTATTTCCTCCAGACCCCTGGAAAGTCAGCTTCCTTCCACAATTCTCTCTGCTTACCCTCCACTGAGCTTGGGTGAGACCTCCCCTTGCCAATGAGGGCGCCCCACGGAATTGTCCCT